AGAATGCTCCTCTGTCCTTGAGAAGAATGTGTATTCTGGTGGTGTTGGATAGAATGTTCTGTGTATGTCTTTTAGGTCCATTTGGTCTAAAGTAGGTTCAAGTCCAGTTTCCTTGTTAATTTTCTGTCTGGATGATCTGTTCATCGCTGAAAATGGGGTACTGAAGTCTTCTACTACTACGCATTGTTGTCTGTTTCTCCCTTGAGATCTGTTAGTGTTTGCTTAACAGATTCAGGAGCTTTGATGTTAGGTACATATGTATTTATAATTATTATATTCTCTGAATGAATTGATTCCTTTTTCATTATATAATGGCCCTTTTTGTCTCTACGGTTTGTGACTCTTAAGTCTTTTTTATCTGATATATGTATAACTACCTCTACTCTCTTTTGCTTTCCATTTGGATGCAATATCTTTTTCCATCTGTTTACTTTGAGCCTAGTGTGCCCTTAAAACTGAGTGAGTCTCTTCTAAGGCAGCATATAGTTGGGTCTTATTTTCTTTATCCATTAAATTACTCTCTTCCTTTTGATTGGAGAATTTAGTCCGTTTCTGTTTATTAGTAAGTAAGGACCTACTGATGCCTTAATAGTTATTTTCCGGCTGTTTTATACTTCCTGGGTTCCTTTCTTCCTCTTTTGCTGTCTTCCTTTGTGAATTGACCATTTTTCAGAGAGGTATGCTTTGATTTCCTTTTCTTTATCTTTTCTGTGTCTCCTGTAGGTTTTGCTATGTGGTTATCCTGGGGCTTCCATAAGACATAGATAAAACATTTTTCAAGCTGATAACGAACTTAACTTCAACTACATACAAAAACTCTACCTTTTTACTGCTCCTCCCATTTTATGTCTTTGATGTCACAATTTATCTCTTTTTATATTTTGTATCTATTAATAAATTATTGTAGCTATAGTTATTTCTAACATTCTTGTCCTTTAACCCTTACATAAGAATTAATGTTGATGGGGCGCCTGGGTGGCTCAGTTGGTTAAGCGACTGCCTTCAGCTCAGGTCATGATCCTGGAGTCCCGGGATCGAGTCCCACATCGGGCTCCCTGCTCAGTGGGGGGTCTGCTTCTCCCTCTGACCCTCTTCCCTCTCATGCTCTCTGTCTCTCATTCTCTCTGTCTCAAATAAATAAATAAAATTTAAAAAAAAGAATTAATGTTGAACACACAACCGTATTACAATATTAGAGTGTTTTGAATTTGACTGTACACTTATTTTTACCAATGTGTTTTGTAATTTCATGTTTTCATGTTATTAATCAGCATCCTCTCATTTCAACTTGAAAGATGTCTTACAGCATTTCTTGTGAAGCAAGTCTAGTGAACTCCTTCAGCTTTTGTTGTATAGGAATGTCTTTCTCTCCCATTTCTGAAGCACACCTTTGCTGGGTAAAGTATTCTTGGTTTGCAGGTTTTTTTCTTTCAGCATGTTGAATACGTTATCCCACTGTGTCCTGGCGACAGTCTTTTGCTGAGCGGTCTGCCAGTAGCCTGACAGGGCTTCCCCTTAAATGGGAGGAATTTTTCTTTTCCTCTTCGTGCTTTTATAATTTTGTCTTTGATTGTAGACAGTTTCATCATAATGTGTTTTATTTTTTTTTAAGATTTATTTATTTGTCAGAGGGAACACAAGCAGGGGGAGCTTCAGGCAGAGGGAGAAGCAGGCTCCCCGATGAGGGACTTGATCCCAGGACCCCGGGATCATGACCTGAGCTGCTTAGCTGACTGTGCCACCCAGACGTCCCTATCATAATGTGTTGTAGAGAAGATATTTTTCACTGGAAATCATTTGGAGACCTGTGAGCTTCATGAACTTGGAGGTCCTAGTTTCTGCCAAGATTTGGGAAATTCTTAGCTATTATTTGTTTAGATAACCTTTCTGTCTCTTTTTCCCTCTGTTCTTCTGGGACTCCAGTAATGTGTGGATGCTTCTTTTAATGGTATCCTATTATTTACATAGGAGTTCTTCATTCTTTTTCTCCTGTATTCTCCTCTGACTGGCTAGTTTCAAATAACCTGTCTTCTGCCTCCTGCCTCCCAGGTTCTTTCCTCTGCGTGGTCCAGTTGGCAATAGGTGTCTTCCATTGGCAGTTTTCATTTCATTATGTTCTTTGGGTCTAGAATTTGTCTTGTTTTGCTTTATTGTTTATGATTTTATCTGTTAAACTTCGAATTTTGTATATTTCCCTAATTTCATTTAAATGTTTTTCTCTGTTATAGCTCACTGAGCATCTTTAAAACAACTATTTTGAATTTTTTTTTATCGTGTAAGTCATAAATCTCCCTTTCTTTAGGGCTAAAGGAAAATTATTGTATTCCTTTGGTGGTGTCATGTTTTCTTGATTTTTCATGTTTCTTGAAGTCTGGTGTTACATCTTTGCATTTGAAGAGGCAGTCACCTCCTCCTGTCTATACTTCCTGGCTTTGGGAGAAAATACCTTCTGTCAGCCCCGTTAGGGACTCTGAGGTGTTCTCAGATCTTCTGTGGATATGTCTGCCCCACTCTTCTTGTTGCCTTGTGGGGAGGATTTCCTAAAATTGTATGCCTTCTCTCAGTCCTGCAAAGCTAGGCCGGGTGCTGACAGACTCACATTTACTCTCCTTTGGTACTGAATACTCAGGCTTTAGTGCTTTTCCCCTAGTCCTGCAGAGTCAGGCTGGCCTGTGTGCGCTCACTAGCTGTCTCTGAAGTCCTGCTCTCACCGCCAATCAGGGATGTATCCAGGGAGCCAACCACAGGGGGTGGGGTGTGTGTGTGCAGGTGAGGCATGCAGAGCCTGGGCGAATCTGCAGCTGAAGCATCCCCAGTGGCTCTTTGGCAGGCTTCCTGATGGAGTCCACGAAGTGGCTCGTAGGATCTGCGGTCCTTTGTTACCCTCCAGGACACTCACTGCTGTTCCCCCAGCTGCTCCCTGCCCCCCGCCCCCCAGGCACTCAGGACACTTCAGTATTCTGGTTGGATGAGAGGGAAGTGGGTCTTTTTGGTGGCATCCCACACAGCTAGGGAAGCTGAGTGCTCACACACTCCCTTTCCCCTGTGGGAGAAATAATGGGCCAAGAAGGTCTCTCTTGACACTGAGCTTTATCACCTTGGGGGTGGGGGGTGTGACACAGACAAAATGAAACTGCCTCTTACATCTTCAGTGCATCCAGTCCTGGGTTTTCTGTTTTTTTTTTCATTTTTTTGTTGTTATTGTTGTTGTTTGTTTATTTGGCTTGCCCTTTTTATTTTTATTTTTATTTTTATTTTTTTTTGCTTCTACCATGTATTGAAACTTCCCTGCTGGACTCTTGGACTTCCACAAAGACACTCTCATGCATGGGTGATGGTCTGTGTTCTTTGCAGGAAAGATGATAGAAGACTCTTATTTTGCCATGTTATCACTCCTCAGCGCTTTGCCTATTCTATCTTTTATAAATGTAAACCAGCCAAAATGGTATTAAGTCCTTGCTTTTTTTCTTCTTGGGATTTTTCACAGTTGTATAGTTAGGATTACTTTTCGTGTGCCTCTGTCCCTTAGAGTCATAATATTTGTAATATTTACTGAGCGTTTGTTATTGCCATTTACTATAACCAACATAGTTGGTTTCTGCAGGTCTCACTGTTGTTGGTTCTATTGGTTTCTGTTACTTGAAATCAGAAGCATCTTATCTGAGACATCTGTCTTGATTCTGTTTTCCTAAAGTCTAGGTTACATATCTGTTCATGCACAACATTCCCTTCTCCTGTTAAAAACTCTAAAATCACACCTTCATTTTTTTCTCAAGATTTCTATTAGAAATCAGTTTTCCCTTACTGATCAAATCTTAAGTCGAGAATAATACATAGTTCCTTTTATTGCTTCCTCTGCTCTCTGAGAATTGGGCTTTCCTGTGAACCATTACTCTGAATAGACCTCTCCAAGAGCAAAGTTTGTTTTTGTTTATTGACATATAAGTTACATATATTAAGTGCACTGATTTTTATGTATTATATACCAGTGGAATCACCACCCACGGTAAAATGTAGGATGTTTCTGATGCCCCAAAAGTTTCTGCCATGCTCCTGTTCAGTTATTATTATCCCTCCAGAGTTATCCACTGGTCTAACTTCCATTACCATCGATCAGTTTGGTTGGCTCTTTTTATGTAAGTGGAATTATACATTTATGTATTCTTTTGTGTTTGGCTTGTTTTGCTCAGCATGATGAGGTACGTCCATGTTACTAGGTATATCAATACCTCATTCTTTTATATTGTTGAATAATATTCTGTTGTATGAAAATACTGTGGTTTATTTATCCATTCACCTGATAAAAGACATTTGGGTTGTTTCCCGTTTGGGGATATTATGAATACACTTGCTACAGACAGTCTTGTACAAGTCTCTGGGTGGTCATGAGTCCTGCCACAGGAGTGGAATTGCTGAATTCAGAACAAGCATTTGTTTAACTTTAGTATACAACTGCCGAACAGTTTTCCTACGTGATTGATACATTTACTCCCCACAGCAATGCACAACGTTCCAGTTGCTCTGTATGCTTGCCAGCAGTTAGTATCGACCATGTCAGTTTAATTTTTAGATATTCTGGTGGGTAGGTAGTATAAGTAATTGTGCCATTGTGATATTTAATTTATATTAATAGCAAAGTTTTAAAGGGCCTGTGAAGACTTTTGGGAAGTAATCGTATTATTTATTCAGATGTTGTTCATAGCAGAGAAAGCAGCAGAAATCTTTTGCTTCTTAATAAGGAACAGATTGAGTTGAAGGCTACTGTATGTGTCTAGGGACAGAGCTGTGAACGTTGACGTAACGCTTTACGTCCTGAGTCTACTGATGAGGGTACCAGGGCCCTAGTCAGCAGTTACCCTGTTTCTGTTTTTGGATTCGGAGAAGTAAAGGAAATGGCATAGTTCTTGCTATTTTCACGTGGAAAGATAATCTGGATTTAACAGCTTGCTGGTAATAGCTAATTTGGACACGATTCATTGTGGTTTCTTCTTCTTCTCCAGATCTGTCCTCTTCGGAGTCTGCCCTTCTCCAAGGGGAACATACTCTGCTCGCATCAGCCAGTTTTCAAGTAAGTTGGAATTCCTGAAATGCCATTTAGTCCTTAAGAGTGAATTGTGTGTTTTCTGCTGTGGGGTATGTTCATTTAAAAACCAATCTTGGGAATTCATTTTGGGCTCCCACCTGCCCAGTGACGTTTGAACCTCTGCCTCTCCAGCTTCACTAATACATTTACCACTTAACCTCCTGCTTCGTATCTTGTCACGCTCCAGCAGTGACAGGGCAAAGGAAGTACAAAATGTGATCCTTTACCTGAATAGACCAAATGACTGCTAAAAACCGGAACAGGTAAATATAAACAAAGCTAAATGAGTACCATGGAAATTTGAGAATGCAAAAATGTGTGGTCTGGAAGGGTCAGGAGAGTTTCAAGGGGTATGGGATTTGCACTACCTCTCACAGGATGGGGGACATTTGGATATTTAGACAAGTAATGTGGGAGGGACGGCATGGACTCTAGCTGACGGAGAAGATTTTGAGCAAAGGTTCACAACAATTAACGGATGTTACATAGGAATCAGAAAAATTGGGGGAGCTGGTTTATTTTGGCAGATGGTAAACAGATGAATAAATAAGTTGGAATATGACATTCCTCAAATGTCTAGATGAAAAGTTAAAGGCTTTTTTCTGTAGGCCATTTGTGAACCATTAATGGTTTTTTTTATTATTATGTTATGTTAGTCACCATACATTACATCATTAGTTCTTGACGTAGTGTTCCATGATTCATTGTTTGTGCATAACACCCAGTGCTCCACGCAGAACGTGCCCTCTTTAATACCCGTCACCAGGCTAACCCATCCCCCACCCCCTCCCCTCTAGAACCCTCAGTTTGTTTCTCAGAGTCCATAGTCTCTCATGGTTCGTCTCCCCCTCTGACTTACTCCCCTTCAGTCTTCCCCTCCTGCTATCTTCTTCTTCTTCTTTTTTCTTCACATCTGTTGCATTATTTGCTTCAGAAGTGCAGATCTGTGATTCATCAGTCTAGCCCACCTCACAGCGCTCGCCGTAGCACACACCCTCCCCGAGGTCCGTCCCCCAGCCCCCCGCCCCTCCCACCCCCCCCATTAATGGTTTTTGAGGAAGAAAGGGACAGGGTACTGTTTTAGGAAAAACCAGTAACTGAGAATTTAGACAAAAACGGTAACCGTTGTTCCACCAGGTATAATTTACCTCAAGCCCTCCCTTATCAGGCTTTTTCTTAGACTTTTGCCCCTACTTCCTGTCCCACAATGTAATCATCTCATCAGAGAGATTACCCCAGTTCTTTCCACTTTGAGCTCAAGTACTTCTGGCATCACTTTATTTTTTCTTGATGTATAATGTGATAATAAACTACATGTATTTAAAGTGCGTAACTCAATACGTTTCGACATACACGTGCACCCGTGAAATCATCACCGCAATCAAGATCGTGAACACATCCAGTCAGAGAACATTGTATGACTTGACTCTTTCTGAACTTGACACTCCTTTTGCCCTGATCTGGTAGATGAGCAGTGAGCACTTGAAAAGAATGTATGTTTTGCTTTTGTTGGCTAGAGGATTCTAAGAATGGATTAGTTTCCTTTTAGAAGCTTAACGACTGAAAACAACACATTTATTGTCTTACAGTCACAAAGGCCAGAAGTCCAAAATGAGCTGGCTGGGCTGCACTCCTCTGAAGGCTGTGGGCGGAATCTGTCCCCTCACCCTCCAGTTTCTGGAGGCAGCCTGGATTCGTTGGCTTGTGTCGCAATCCCCCATCCTCAGAGCCATCGGTGTGGCATCCTTAAATCTTTCTTCACATCTCCTGCTCTGTCACCTTCTTATAAGGACTCTTGATGGACATTGGGCCCACCCCTGTAATCTGGGCTAACTTCCCCATCTTAAAGTCCTCAACATGATCTCATTGGCAGTGCCTCTTGTTTTCGATAATTTCATAGTTTGGAGGATCCGGATGTGGCCGTCTTTGGGAGGGGCCCGTATTCCGCACACGCAGAAGTCAGTTAGGTCAGGTCGATTGAGCGTTGTTCAAATGCTTTATATCCTTATTGATTTTGTCTACTTGTTTTATCAAATGTGATAGGGATGTTGAAATTTGGGGCTCTCATTATGTAGATTTGTGTGTTCTCCTTGCAGCTCTGTCAGTTTTTCCTTCATGTATTTTGAAGCTGCCACTCGATGCATAAACATTTGGGACTGTTATGTCCTCTTCATCAAGTGACCTTCCTTATCATTGAGAAATGAACTCTCTGTTGTTGGCCTTGAAGCTACTGTGCTATCTGACAGTGTCAGCGGCGTATCTTCTTTCATCCTTTTGCTCTTAATTTACTTGTGTCTTCATATTTACATATAGGTAATATGTAGTTCATTGGGTTTTGCTTATTTCAGTCCAGTCTGGCAATCTGCCTTTTAATTGGGTGTTGAGACCAATTATTTAATGTGATATTTACATTTAATGTGATTGTTGGTGGGATTAAGTCTATCATCCAGCTTTTGTTTTTCTGTTCATATTGCCTTCCTTCCCTTTTTCCTCCATTCTTACCTTTTTTTGGAAACTAAATATTGCTTAGGATTCCAGTTTATCTTCTTCATTAGCTTATTAGCCGTAACCCTTTGTTATTTTATTTTTTAATTTTCTTTTTTAAAGATTTATTTATTTGAGAGAGCACTGGAGAGAGCAAGCACAAGGGGGGTGCAGAGGCAGAGGGAGACCCTGGGATCCTGGGACCCCGGGATCATGACCTGAGCCGAAGGCAGACGCTTAACTGACTGAGCCACCCAGGCGCCCTATGCCTTTGTTATATGTTGCTTAAGGTATACGTATTTATCGCCACTTACTTTCAAGTGATACTCCCCTTTGTGAACAGAAGAACCTTGCAGTAATGTTCTTCCACTTCTCTCCTCCCAGTGTTTAATGGCATTGTTGGCACATGCTTTCCTTGTGCACATGTTGTCAACCCCACAATGCTTGTTATTTTTGTTTAAGCAATTATCATGTAAATAGTAAGAAAAAAATTATATCCACATACTTACTATTCTGGTGTTTTTCGTCTTTATGATGTCTATCAATGAGTGATAATTAGGGGTGATTTGACCCCGGGACGTTTGGCAGTGTTAGGAGACATTTTGGCTGTTAGGACTTCCTGGGACGGGCTCCTGGCTCCCAGTGGGTTGATGCCAACGATGCTCTCCCCGCAATGATTTAAAAGAATGATTTGGTCCAAAATCATTCAGTAACAACAAGGTTGAGAAACATTGGTTGTAGATCTGGTATCATTTTTTCTTCTGCATGAAGGGCTTCCTTAAGATTTCCACAGTGCAGTCCGCTGTTCATGAATTCTTTCCAGTTTTTATGTCCGAGGAAGTCTTTATTTTGCCATTGTGTTTCAATTCTCATTTGACAGTTTTTCTTTTTAGTATATAATGTTGTTGCTCCGTTTTCTTCTTGTTTGCATTGCTTCCGACGAAAAAGCTGCTGTTGTTTTTTGTCTTTGTTTCTTTACATTTATGTGTTTTTTTTTTCCCTCTGGTTGCTTGTAAGATTTTCTCTAACACTGGGTTTGAGTTACTTGATTAAGATGTGCCTCAGTGTAGATTTGTGTCTCGTATGCTTGCAGTTTATTGAGTTTCTTAGACCTCTGAACCTTCATCAAGTTCAGAAAATAATGAGCTATTATTTCTTCAAATGTTTTTTTCTGCTGCTCTCCCCTCGTTTTGTTTTCAGGGACTCCCGTTGCACACATACTGGGCCATCTGAAGTCCCTGGTGCCATCTCTCTCTCTCTCTCTTTTTTTTTTAAAGATTTTATTTATTTGAGAGAGAGAGTGAGCCCAAGAGGGGGGAGGGTCAGAGGGAGAAGCAAGACTCCCCACTGAGCAGGGAGCCCGATGTGGGACCTCTGGGATCATGACCTGAGCCAAAAGCAGTCGCTCAACCAACTGAGCCACCCAGGCATCCTGCCATCTCTTTTTATAAATTCTTGTCTTCTGTCTGTTTTACTTTTGATATTTTCTGTTTTGTTGTCTTTGAATTTACTTTTTTCTTCTTCGATGCCTGATGTGCCATGAAGACTATTCAGTATGCTTTTCATCTCCAAACGTTCTCACTTTTAGCTCTAGATATTCCATTAAGGTCTTTTTAAAAAATGTCTTCCGTGTCTCTCTTAAACTTTTTTTTTTTTAAATGTTTTATTTATTTATTCATGAGACTCAGAGAGAGAGAGAGAGAGAGGCAGAGGCAGAGGGAGAAGCAGGCTCCCCGCCTAGCAGGGAGCCCGATGCGGGGCTCGATCCCAGGACCCCGGGATCATGACCTGAGCTGAAGGCAGACGCTTAACCATCTGAGCCACCCAGGCGCCCCAAACTTTTTTTTTTTTAAAGATTTTATTTATTTGACAGAGAGAGACACAGAGAGGGAACACAAGCAGGGGGAGTGGGAGAGGGAGAAGCAGGCTTCCTGCTGAGCAGGGAGCCTGATGCGGGGCTCGATCCTAGGACCCTGGGATCATGACCTGAGCCGAAGGCAGATGCTTAATGACTGAGCCACCCAGGAGCCCCTCTGTTAACTTCTTGAACATACGGAATACAGTCATAATTTTTAATGTTCTCATCTGTTAATTTTAGCATCTGTGTTAGTTCTGGGTTGGCTTTAATGGATTATTTTTTTTCCTCATTATAGGTTGTATTTTCCTGCTTCTCTGTAGACCTGATAATCTTTGATTGAATGGCAGACACTGTAAATTTTACTTTATTGGGTTCTGCATACTTTTGTGTTGAGCCTTATTCTGGGATTAAGTTACTTAAAACAGTGTGTTTGTTTCATATCTGGCTTCTAAGATGTATTAGGTGAAGCAGAACAGTGTGTAGTGTAGGGCCGCCTGGTCCCACCATTGGGGCCCCGCCTTCCTGAGTATTGGAACCAGCGTCTAATGAATGTGAAATTTGCCAGTTTGGCTGATGGGAACAGAAACTCTATTTCCAGCCCTTTTTGAGCACCGGTACTGCTCCCTTGAATCCTTCTGGGTGATTGTTCCCCTGCCTCGGTGGTCTCATCACACCCACGCACTGATGGGTACTTCACTGAGTACTCGAGTGGGAACCTCTGCAGTTCTCGTTGCTTCTTTCCTTGTGCAGCTTTCATCTGCAGTCCCGTGACCTCGAGTCCCCCTGATTTTCCCGAACTCTAAGCATTCTCTCTCAGTTCGGGGAGTCTGTTGGGCAGCCTCCGGGCGCCCCCTGTCTGCACCCTGGCCTGGAAACTCAAGGCAATATGCTGGAGCAGTTGTGTGACTCACCTCATTGGTTTACTGATTCTTAGGGATTGCTGTTCTTTGTTGTAGGAAACTCATTGTCTTGGAAACGTGTTTCCTTTGTTTTGTCTGGAATTTTTTGGTTATTTCGCGTAGGAGTGTGGATCCAATCCTGTTAATTTTATCTTGACCACAGCTTGATCCTTTTGAGGTTGTTTTCTTTGAATTTATTACCCTTTATTCATACCATAAGCTTTATTAGGGCTGATCTAGCCCAACCTCACTCTGGGACTATTTCTCAGGGGCCCCATGACCACCGTGTACCTCAGTGATCTGCTAGAATGCCTCACCCAATTCAGTGGCATGACTTAGGGCTAAAGATGATTACTACAAAGGGCATGAAACAGGATCAAGAAGGAAAAAAGATCCTCGCAAGTGGAATCCAGAGAAATCTGGTGCAGGCTTCCGAGTCTTCCCTCTGTGAGGGTCGCATGGAGGCCCTTTGTTTCTAGCTGTGAGAATGTCTCTCCCCGGGGAAGCCTGCTTGAGCCTTGGAGTCCAGAATTCTTAGAAGGAGCTGACCCCTCTGGCAGGCACCTGCTGTCGGGCAGCTATGGGGCAGACCCCCGACGAGGCACCGTCCTGCAGGACGTCTTTGTGTGTGCTTGAAACAGTGCGGACAGTTGGGGACATCACCCTCCAGGTGCACTGGGACGCTCTCGGTGCGTGACGACGTAAGCCTTAGTTTTGACGGCGTAAGGCTTGGAAGCGTGGATCCCGTTCTCCCTGTTGATCAGTAAGGATCGAACAGACCAGACTCACGGCTGCACTTTCCTCCTGGGTGCACTGGCCTTGCTGCGGAAGGTGCTGGAATGGTCTGCGTGTCTGTCTTCACACTGGGTTCTGTCCTCTGTGACTTCCTGTTGCCCGTGGAAGCTGCGGTGCTTCCACCAGATTAATGAACTTCCTCTCCTGCATCTGCCCCATAGATGCCCTGCATCCGCAGTCCCGAGCTGTCACCTTCGTGTCCTCGGCTCTGTCTGACCGCTGTTCTTGAGGGGCCCTGCCTCCCTGCTCTGCAGCCTGGGGAGCCTGCTGGCAGGGTGCCGAGGGGGCTTGGGGTCATGTCGTGGTCTCCCTTCTCTCAGGGTCACTGTTCTGTCCCACTGCTGTTCAAATACGGAAACCGTTGTTCCAGATCGTTCAGTGGGGTAGCTCGTGACACCGGCAGAGCTAGTCCACTTGCTCCTGTGTTAGAAACAAATCTCACAAGGTGACTTACCAATTTTAAAACAAAATTAACTCACCCAGTTTTGAATACAGACTAAAGAATAAGTAGTAGGACGCCCCCTGTACCGCCTCCAGCTCCCACTGATGATACTTGGTAATGTCGTCTTTCGGGTTTTCTCTGTCATTTACATATAAACCTTCCTTTTCGTAAAAATAAAAGGATCACGCCACATATACCATTCTTAATATCACACGTATTTCCTAATAAGTGCATAGAAAGAGACGTCATTTTAAAATGTCCACAGAAGGCGCTTTAGTAGGGATATGCCGTTCATTCGTCAACTGCGATCCTACTAACGGACATTTAAGTTTGCCTTTTATCCTCCAGAGGGTTGCAGGGTGCTTGTGCTATGTCTTTGCCCTCGGCGGTGCTTCTGGACAATCAATCCCTCCCAGCAACAAAACTGGACTGGGTGATAGGTGCATTTATAAGTTTTGATGGCTCCTGTCCTGTCAGACTGCCCCCTGGGTGGACAGAGCGAGGTTCCGTCCCTGCCACGCCACCCACATGTGCTTCTGGGCCTCGCCCACTCCATGTTTTACGTGGAGCATTCTCTTGTGGCTCATTTGACACTGTCGTGGGTGAATTGCTTGTTTGGGTTGTTGGCTTTTTTGTTATTGTTGTGGGTTCATCTCTTTTGCTATTTATGGGAATTTGGAATATTGCCTTTTGTTTATGGTTTATTTTAGAAGTTTTGCATTTTTATGTGGTTATATCTGTCAGTCTCTTTGTCTTAGGATTTTTTGCTTTCTGTATTTCAAGCTTATGAACGCTTTTATTCTGTTTTTGCTTTTTCTTTAAAATTCTACTCCAACAGAAATTTTCATGTGTGCCGTGAAAGTAAGAAACTCATTTAAATTTTTTTCTCAGTCATTTGTTATGACAATATTTAGTGACTAATTCATCTTATTTTAACTAATTTGACAGCTGCTTAATCCTATTCAGTTCTTATAATCCTGAGTCTGTTTCATTGAGTTTTATTCCATACTAGGCACTCTCTTTTACCTTATCTCTTGGTACATTTTAAAATGTGGTAGGGCAAGTCTCCTCCCTGAATTCTTTCAAAACTGTTTTTGGTTATTGTTAAACATTGTAGGTAGGTAAGACGTTTTATTGATATTGGTATAGGTATGCTATCAATACTTTGTGTATCTTAGAACACAGAGATGATGATGAACTACAACAGGGCCAATACAGACTTAGCACCAGTTGTATGCCAGGCCCTAAATGAAGCATTTCATGTTGAACATTTCTTACTAATTTCTCACAGTCACCCTATGCGTGAGGTACTGTTTTTATATTCATTTCACAAAGAAGAAACATCAGGGTCATTTCTCGGATAGCCCCATGGCTGTCTTGCCTTCCTTCTGTCCGTACCGCAAACCTCACCCCTCTCTCAGGTGAAGGCTCTATGGCTAAGGACAAATCTGTTTGGTATTTCAGGAATCCGTGACCTTCAAGGATGTGATAGTGGACTTTACCCAGGAAGAATGGAAACAGCTAGATCCTGTCCAGAGAGATTTGTTCAGGGATGTGACACTGGAAAATTATACACACCTGGTCTCCATAGGTAAGGATGATTTCTCAGTATCTCAGGGTGTGGAGGAAGAGGGGTCTCTTGTGCTTAGGTGAGTTTTTGCCTTTAATGAAGTTAAGGAACCTAAGACTCCTAAATTTTGAAAGGCTTTGAAAAGGTTTCTACTCTCCTAGCAAGTAGAAGTACAAACTAGTAACTTCTCTGAGCCCACATTGGTTCCCAAATTATACTGTGTCTGGGAATTTGTAACATCAAGGCTTTATGTGCTATTCACTGCTCTCGGATTTGTCTCATGTAGGACTTTCTTCCTACTGTAATCAGGCACCTTTTTTCCCCCCGTGAGCAGGACTCCAAGTTTCCAAACCTGATGTGATTTCCCAGTTAGAGCAAGGGACGGAGCCATGGATCGTGGAGCCTGGCATCCCAGTAGGTTCTTTGGGAGGTAAGTAATGGATACCCGCTCGGTGAGTATCATTAACTCTAACCATTAGCCTGATAAGAGGATTTTATGTCTGAAATACAGATGTATTTGCTTCTCTTTACCATCTCCCGTGGAGAAATGAGAATCCATCTGGACTCTTGGGGCTTTGTCAAAACACTAATGGTCTCAACATATATTCTATTTTGATACTCCTTTCAGAGGCGGTATCCTTCCTGCTTTTTTTCTGAAGGCAGCCTCTTGACCTGGACTCTGGATTCCCTCTTTTCCCACCTCCTTTGGGACCCTGGTCTCTTAATTCGCACCTCACTTTTCAGCCCTTACCGCTTGTTTGTTTTGGATCTCCAGGCTTGGTGACTAGTACTTTCAAACAGAAATAGTACCCTAAATTTCCAGATGCTTTTACTCAACACTCTTCATCCTGTTGGCCACCATCCAGTCTGTCACCTCGCTTTCCCAGCCAAACTCTACAAAAGTCAGTTCCATACCTGCAGTCTTCATTTTTTATCACCTGTTTCTTAAGCTTCTGACTCTACAACTTAATCTAAGACTGTCCCTGAAATTGTGAATAACTTTCTTGTAGACCATGAATTCCCAAAGTGCACAGAGAGGCGCTTCAAGGATCTGACCCTGAAAAAATATACAGACTTAGTCTCGCTAGGTGAGGGATAGATCTCCAAAGTCAGTGAGGTGGGAGCAGGGGTTCTTTTTATGGGGAGGAAAAAAAAAGTACTCCATGTTCAAATTTGAGAATTGTTGGGTCATCAAACTTTTAGCAGGTCTCTTACTGAAAGACCACTCAGGGATTTCTTAAATACGTAATGGGGCGGTGTGAACTCCCAACAGGGTTGCATAGCCTGTAACATTCTTCCTCCCCCGCCGCCCCAACCGTGGCGCCTTTTCATGCTGCACCTTTAAAATCTTCCTCTTAGAAGACGGTTTCTCAGAACACAGTTTAGAAAAGTGATTTTTTAGAAAAATTAAGAGCTTTATTAAGTCATGCTTAACTTTTGGAAAAAAGTTGTCAGGTTTTACTACAAATTAAAGTTTTTAAAAATCCCAACTTGAGCAGATAGAAAGCAATTTTAAAATATTTAACTGTGTACTGAAAAATCCTAGGTTTTTCACAGAATGCTTTAGTCATTACCAAAGAGAGATTTATTTAGGTAAAAATAACACTAGATGCCTCCTGTTACGTAGATAACGTAGATGATCCCAGGGATCCGGTCGGTAGGCAGAAGACAAACACTTGAAATATTTGGCCCCATTCCTTGGTTGACTTCTTACTATGGAATGAGACATGATGGTAGTCTTGGTAAGCTGGCCTCTCGCCCCTAGCCCTGCGCTCTTCAGCATCCAGAGCGGACTCATTCTCAACTGTGGATTTGGCTGTTTTTATCTCTGTAAGAACAACGTGCAGCTTCACAGACACGTGCGGGTAGTTGGGAGTTGTAGAAGCACCCACAGTGAGGTGGCTGCTCGTCCTGGGCCTTGTCTGGGTTCCTCTCCTTACCTTCCTCATGCCATCTCCTCTGGGCCGGTGGAGACCTGGCCCCTGCGGGATCCTGACCGGTAGCCCTGACCCGTGCTGTGTCTCTCGGGTCCCAGCGCACAGGGGTGTGGCAGTGTTGTGGTCGAGGCCCACAGCTTTGCTTTAGTAAAGTGAGAATTCCTTTCTGCAGCAGGAATGGTGCTGCTCAGTCTGGCCTTCTGGAACTCTCTCCAGTCCTTCATTCTTTGCCCCACCACGGATCTAAGACATGACAACGTGGATAACGTTTGTGGCCTTCTTCTGCCCCTCAGGGCTGGACACCCTTTTCCTCTTTAACAGCCTCAGACCCCATGATCTCTGTGTTCCTCACTGTGGAATACTTCCAGAAGGTATTCTTCACGGCCAAGTGCTGTACAAATAGGTCTTTCTTGGTGTTAGTCCGTTAGTGGAAACACACCCATTTCTTGTACTGCACAGCTGGCCATTCCCCCGACTCTTCGGGTCTGTGCTGGGGGAGCTCAGCTGTTCGGCTTCGGCCTCAGCTTCCAGACGCCACACCCGTAGCCAGGGCGCCCGGGATGGAGGGGGCGGAGGCTGTCCTGCATCTCTGCCTCCCAGTGCCCGCTGGCAGTGACGATGGTGGTGATAGCGGCCCTCCTGTCACCAACAGAACCACAGAGATGTGTAATTAAGCTGCTTTGTTTCTTTACTGAATCTACCAGCATTGACTGCCCTGCTGCGTGTAGCTGTCCCCTCCCTGGGCTTGAGCAACACTCCGCCCCCCGGTTATGCGCCTGCCTGCCTGTCCCTCTGCTGCCTTTCTGCAGTAAGTTTGACCCCGCCCATCACCCTGTCTTTCAGGGTCCCCCCTGCCCTCTTTTTTTCTCAGACATTCCCGTGGTTTCTCCTACCCTGTGCTCCCTTTTTAGGGCCGATCCCTCCTCTCCTCTGTCTGAACATCTGGGTGGTTCTACTTTTGGCATCTTCCACCCCCACAAACACCACTGCAGTCTGGTCCCTCAGTTCTCTTCCTGATTCTCAGAATGCCTGGAGTTGAACTTGCTGTCTTCCTCCCTTAAAGTCTGTCCTCTGCCTGCACCTTTCCCATTCCTGGCAGAGATGTAACTGTTCCCTCAGTGTGCCCGGCTAACGACCGTGGTCCCGGTTAGCCAGGGCTTCCCTAGTTGTCCTCACTTGAAATCTTTGTTCTCAGATTTTTGTTTGCTGCTCGTTGGCAAGGAATCCGCGTTCAGACTTGCTTTCGTCTGATGGTGTCTCCTGGGCCATCTCTCGTCCCTATGGTCAGCTTCTAATTTAACTATTATGTTCCTGGTTCTTCAAGATTATCTACGAAACTGAGTGAGACATTCTCTTGCCACTTCGTGTTTTATTTATCATTATCCTTCGCTCTTTCCAACTTTCTCCCCAGATATAATTGGCTACACTTGAAAACCCTCAAGATTTCCTAAGGGCTTTCTTTTTAGCTTCATTAGGTCCTTCCCACAACAGCAATTATTTGTTCCCTTCTATTTAGAGAACAGAGACATTCTCTTTATCTTTCAGACTGCGAGACAAGACCAGAAAATAGCAGTTCAGTCCGAGTGCTGAACATCTCTGGGGAGCAGCCAAGTCAAGAGGCAGTAGTGGAAAGACACAGAAGGGATGATCCTTGTAGTTCTAACTCTTTAGAAAGCTGGGGGTGTGGAAGCAGTGTGGAGAAGCATCAGGCAAACCACCAGACACGGGCAAGAGAAATAAAAATCACTGAAAAGACAGTACCCACCTGGGAGAGAGGCCCTGTAACTAAGGACTCTGAAAAACGCATCAGTGTGAGTTCAAACCTTGCAACACAAGAAAAATCTCCAGAAGAGACCTCTACTAAAACAAGCGCCAAACAGAATACAAACCCAGTTAAAAAAGAGAAATCTTGTAAGTGCAACGAATGTGGGAAAGCTTTTAGTTATTGTTCAGCTCTCATTCGCCATCAGAGAACACATACTGGAGAAAAGCCCTACAAATGTAATGAATGTGAAAAAGCCTTCAGCCGGAGTGAAAACCTTATAAACCATCAAAGAATTCATACTGGAGATAAACCGTATAAATGCGATCAGTGTGGAAAAGGCTTCATTGAGGGTCCATCTCTTACTCAACATCAAAGAATTCACACTGGAGAAAAACCCTATAAATGTGATGAATGTGGGAAAGCCTTTAGTCAGAGGACCCATCTTGTTCAGCATCAGAGAATTCATACTGGCGAGAAACCATATACTTGCAATGAGTGCGGAAAAGCCTTTAGCCAGAGAGGCCACTTTATGGAACATCAGAAAATTCATACAGGAGAAAAACCTTTTAAATGTGATGAATGTGATAAAACCTTTACCAGGAGCACACACCTCACTCAGCATCAAAAAATTCATACCGGCGAGAAAACCTATAAATGTAATGAATGTGGGAAGGCCTTCAACGGGCCCTCGACGTTTATCCGCCATCACATGATCCACACTGGGGAGAAGCCGTATGAGTGCAATGAGTGTGGGAAAGCCTTCAGTCAGCACTCGAACCTCACTCAGCATCAGAAAACACACACGGGGGAGAAACCGTACGACTGTGCCGAGTGCGGGAAATCCTTCAGTTACTGGTCATCCCTCGCTCAGCACCTGAAAATCCACACTGGAGAGAAACCGTACAAATGCACCGAGTGTGGCAAGGCCTTCAGTTACTGTTCCTCCCTGACTCAGCACCGGAGAATCCACACCAGAGAGAAGCCTTTCGAGTGCACCGAGTGCGGGAAGGCTTTCAGTTACCTCTCCAACCTCAATCAGCATCAGAAGACGCACACCCAGGAGAAAGCGTACGAGTGTAAGGAGTGTGGAAAAGCCTTTATTCGGAGTTCATCTCTGGCCAAACACGAGAGGATCCATACCGGCGAGAAGCCCTACCAGTGTCACGAGTGCGGGAAAACCTTCAGTTACGGCTCATCCCTCATTCAGCACAGGAAAATACACACTGGGGAGAGACCATACAAGTGTAACGAATGTGGGAGAGCCTTCAACCAGAACATCCACCTCACACAGCATAAGAGAATTCACACAGGCGCAAAGCCTTACGAGTGTGCCGAGTGCGGCAAAGCCTTCCGGCACTGTTCCTCTCTTGCTCAGCATCAGAAGACTCACACCGAAGAGAAACCCTACCAGTGTAACAGATGTGAGAAGGCTTTCAGCCAGAACTCTCACCTGACTCAGCACCAGCGCATCCACAGCGGAGAGAAGCCGTACAAGTGCACCGAGTGTGACAAGGCCTTCAGCCGGAGCACCCACCTGACGGAACATCAGAACACGCACACGGGGGAGAGACCTTACAACTGTCACGAATGCAGGAAGACTTTCAGCCAGAGCACGTACCTCATCCAGCACCAGAGGATTCATTCAGGGGAGAGACCCTTTGGGTGTAACGACTGTGGGAAGGCCTTCAGATACCGTTCTGCTCTCAACAAACATCAGAGACTGCACCCGGGCATATGACTCTTCCGGGAAGTCCGCGTTGTCCTTTGGTTAAGTACCGAGGAATCAGAGTGAAGTAAGCAAACTGCTCAAAATATTTTTACTTTTCACCATCCACTATGGCATGGAAAGGACACAAAGGGCTGAAGGAATCCAGTGATGTTGTTGTTAAGCAACTCGGTGACATTGGAAAATTCAACTGTTTTAAGTTTCAGTTTGCTCTGTGAATGAGGGATCTGGAGTAGATGGGTTTCAGGAGTTTGGAGTTTTATATTCCAGTTTTGTATGTTCACGATATACTCTTGATTAGGATTACTGTACATCAGCATTTTGCTGTGTTGCATCTACAGTGTGTATATTTATGCATGTTTTGCTAATAGAAAGCATTTGTGCTTCAGTAACTAGACGGGGGATCTATTATGCTCCTGTTCTAATGCATTTAAGTTAAGTAACTGCTTCCTAATAAAAAGAATTAAAAAGCATTCTTAAATTAATAATTCATTAGTATATACTGGCTTACCTCAGGGCAAGGATTAAACCTTCCTGTTCCTATTTCTTTTAGTATGTTTTAGCATCCTAGGAGTTTATCACAACTACAGAGATCCTCCTCTGTAGCGAAACCAGTGTTATTTAACCCTCATTGAAGAGTGCAGTCACTTCAGGAACTTTATAAAATTTGCTGCTAAGGCCCCACCCTCGGAGACTAATTTAACTGGCCTAGTGGGTGGGGACCAGGCTTCAGTATTTATTTTTTTAAACTCCTAATGTGCAGCCCAGAAAGAACAACTGGATTAGATGACCCACTCCTTTAGTCAGTAGCTTCCAGTGGCTCCTCCTAGAAGCCTCATATAACTCGTACACGTAATTTCGACTGTCATCTTGTTTCATAAGTTGGGTTCTCATGCTCTGGGAGGTAGGGTTAATTTATTTCCTCACCAAAGTGCAGAAATTAAACCGCTGTGTAAAGGTCATCTTACCTGCTTTTCCTTGGCCCCAGATACCAAAGGCAGGTGACAGTGTTAACGACCTCCCTGGCCGTGTGTGGCTCCGGCCTGCCCGGCCATTTGAGGCAGACCCGGTCAGGGTAACGTGCGAGCCAGAAATCCATAGGGGCTGAGCCCAGAAGGGACAGGCCCCTTTGATTTCTTCCAGATCTAGTCAGATTACCAGGTAGCTCTTTTCTGGGCAACTAACGACTTCCCAGCTGGGCCTTGAGAATGGAGAGCTCGGAGAACAGAGGGTAGCAGAGCAAAGTTCTAGCCTCTCCTACAGCAAGGTTTGTGGGGAGTGGGTGCTGCAGATTCTCACAAGTGAAAAAAAAAAATCAGTGTAGTCTTTGTGGCTTTTATAAATGCCAGTGACCTACACTGGAGTCTTGTCCCCTCCTTAAGTGGAGGTGCCAGACAGTGAAAAACAGATTGAATTCAGGAAAAATGTAGCCATTTTAAATCTCACGACCTTATTCTGTTGTAATTTGGAACATCTGTAAAGGAATGCCACCTTGGAATTTCATAATCCCTCAAGGCTTCCATCATGTGGGGGTTAGAGTCCCCCCACCTCGGAGGTGGGGACGGGCAGGGCACGGAGTAAGCTTGGGGTGGGGTCGGAGCCCCTCCCACAGGGCAAGGAAATGAAGTGTCTGTACCTGCGTGAAGGGTCCTCTCGTGTCAAAGGAGACCCCCAGATGGAAAACACCACAGTCTGGGATGCGAGGACGCCTGTCCTTGTGCCACCAATTCCTAAATGAAGGAGTAGAATTTATGTGGAAATGTGTCACCAACCTTGAAAGATCCCACTTGGTTCCACTCATCACAGATGCCGTCAGGTCCAGAGCACCCGGAGCATATGGTCACTGCCCAGCTTACTTCCTCTGCTTGCCTGTCCCCCATCTGCCCAGATCTCTCCCCGATCATACAGGCCTGCAGGACGCAGAAGCAGAGGCCCTCCAGAGGTTGGCATGACCTTCGTTTCTTTATCTTCTTTTTGAGTAGCTCCAGAAACCCTCTTTATTATTTGTCCCAGAACACATTCCACGTCCCCAGGGGGGCAGATTTGCAACTGCCGCTTCTGCTCAGACACCCTAATCCTACACGGTGGTGGTGAGTGAAGGTGACCTGAGCTGCCCCCTCGCCATGTACATTCCTCCCTCCCCCCCCATCTTAAGAGCCGAGAGAGGAAGTTCCTGCGAGTGGTTTCTTAGTCCTTTTTTCTTAATTGTGTCACTTATATGCCACAAACATCTATAAAGTAACTATGGATAATAACATGCTCTATCCCACTATGTCTTACTAGACGGCAAAGTAAAATTAAAATCTAAAGAGGAAAACTGGAAGTTAGAAGTTCTAGCCTTTTCCTTGAACTTATAACCAGCCCAGAAAGCTAGGAGTTCAGTTTACATGAGAGGTGTACCATCCACTGACAAGCTGCCCCAAAATAAAAGGGTCTCAGAAATAACCAATAAAACCAGACAATATGAGACGAGAAATTCTCTACTATTTACAAAAAATTCTATGACCTTCATAATGTAGTTTCTTCGGGTGTTTCAGCGTCCAAGACTGAGCATGTAAAGACCACACATTTTTCCCTCAGTCCTAGACTGGCAATTTCCTTATCTGCCACCAGATTATAGATAAAGGGCCACCTGACCAGGTTTTTGTCAAATACGTTGTTGGGGGAAAAGGGGAAATATCAATAACCTCATCATTCTTACACATTTGGGTCTTCAGGGCCGCCTGGGTGGCTCAGTTGGTCAAGCGGCTGCCTTGGGCTCAGGTCACGATCCCGGGGTCAGCAGGGAAATCTGCTTCTCCGTCTCCCTCTGCCCCCACCCTTGCTTGTGCTCTCTCAAAGTAAAATCTTTAAAGCAAAAAAAAATTGGGGTTTTCCATCAAAAATAATCCAACCACAGCCAGTGCTTATGAGCTACCTAACCTTAGAGTGCTTGGGGGTCAGATGTGGACAAGACCAAACCTCTGCTTCCACAGAATTCACATTATAAATGGATGTGTAGAATGCCAAGCGATGGGGTAAGTGGTTGAACCAACACTGGAGCAGCATGGATGGCTGGTGAGAAATCCCACCAGGGCTGTGGAAGTAGGCTGGCTGGGACATGCCTTTCTGAGGAGACCGCCGAGCACAGGCTGGAGGAAGTGAAGGAATGACGGTATCTGGAGAGCCTCCTGGGCACCGGGCTGTGGCCACAAAGGGCCTGAGACAGAGCGTCTTCGGCAGCTGGAGGACACTGGCCGGAGCCCGGTGAGTGGTGGATGAGGTCAGGCAGCTGCAGAAGCGTGCACACGGGGCCTTCCTGGCCTTGGGAAGGACTGGGCATTTTATTCTGAACGGGATGGGAGGTCACCGGGGGCTGTTGAGCAGGGCAGTGACAGGATTTTTCTTAGGTTTTAGGAGGGTCGCTGGCTGTGGTGGAGGGAAGAGACTGCGGGGCCTGGGTGGCATGCTACCCCGGCTGGCCCAGGTGACCCGGACAGAAGGGTTAGTGAATGGGGCGCCTGGGTGGCTCAGTTGGTTAAGCGACTGCCTTCGGCTCAGGTCATGATCCTGGAGTCCCGAGATCGAGTCCCGCATCAGGCTCAGCAGGGAGTCTGCTTCTCCTTCTGACCCTCCCCCCTCTCATGTGCTCGCTCTCTCTCATTCTCGCTCTCTCAAATAAATAAAATCTTTAAAAAAAAAAAAAAAAGAAGGGTTAGTGAACGTAGGAAGTAGCTGGGTTGAGGCGCTACTCTGAAAAAACAGACCAGGTTTGCTGATGGTTTGGACATGAAAGTGCGAGAGAAAGAAACCAGAATGGCTCTGACGTGGGAAGCAAAGGCAAAAGAAAAATTTCCTTACTACCCACAGCCCACTGACAAGTCCTTGAAACGGGCAGAGAGACCTCCTCTGGGAGCTCAGCTGCCTGAGCCGAGCGCAATGTATACTACTACTCTGCTGAGGGCAAAAGGCAATGCTAGCCCGGCCCCCAGGACCCTGTGAGTCTACTTTAAAATATAAGAATTCCTTTGGAAACTTCCTCGATCTCTACCACCCTCCCCCAAGACACGTGTTGGCAATCGTCCCCCAAGCAAAGCACACGGTCCACCGATAGACGTCTGAAGGGTCTCATGACTCAGGTTCTATTAGACGGTAATAAATGACCTTTCCCCAGTAACAGCCAGCCCCCGCGAGGTCCTAGAAACCTTGCTTCCAAATTCCCAGTTGACTCACGCTCTCCCTAACCGCCTCCCAACTTGAAGGTATACAATGGGCCGCTTTTCACAACCCCAGCGCGGCTCTTTCTGCCCACGGGTCCTGTCCCGTGCTTTACGAAAACCACCTTTTTGCACCAAAGATGTCTCAAGCATTCCTTCCTGGCCGTCTGCCTCGAACCCTAACGTCTTTCCTACATCTGCTCTAAGGGCTCCGGCCTGAGTAACATGAAGAAAGCAGCTGCCGAGTCCTGGAGAAAAGATGACCAAAGAGGGAGCAGGTTCACAGAAGGGGTGAGGAATCTGAATTCAGTCTGGGAACCTGTTAAAACATGGGAAACCCCACAGGATACAAGTGTACAAAACACATCGGTACAATATCACTCAGGTCCCGAAAGAAGAGCATTACCAGCGTCCCAGTAAACCCCTGCTCTACCCCTTCCAGTCACAACCTGTCTCCGTCCCCCAGGGAACCACCGTCCTGCGTTCCAACACCGGAGATCAGTTTCACCTGTTTTTGACCTGTGCTCATACAACAGGCTTGTGTGACTAGCTTTTTAAACTCAGATTGTGTTTGCGGGGCTCATCCATGTTGTTGGGA